CCTTTGCTTTTTATCTCAAAAACGATATCCAGCTTGCCTGTAACCCCCTGTGCCGAGCCCTGCATATAATGAAGTATATATCGATGTACGCGTCTTTGGATGCTAGTTCAAAACTGCTTTCCATGAGTAACGATTGTCTGACTGTAGTTATGTTTTTCTTAATAAAAAAAAGTGCGAAGGTTTAGATTCTCATTAGGTCAATTGGCAAGGGATGTCACGTAGCACGTTGTCATGTTTCGAGATGAGACACATATATTAAATCGGTGCAAAAGTTTTGTCAATTACGCTAGAATGATGATAAACAAACGCTTCAAGATGAATCCGATGCGAATTTCTTCTTCTTTTCAGGGGTTTAACTCATATGGTGTTTCGTTGCGAGAGCACGAGATATTCGTTGGAAGTTACAACCATCCGTTTTTACCACGTCCAACTTCCGCTAATTTTCAAAATTTCTATATGAGAATTACGGGGAAGCCCTAATAACATGCAAATAGTGCAAACCTTTTGCCAAAAGGTGCAATTTTTTGTAGCCCCACGGCTTGTCTTTCAGAATTTTCATGATTTATTTTTTGAAGTGACCAAATTTTACATTCAGCTTATTTTAACCTTGTAGAACATGAAATGTTAAACACTCCAGTCACCATTCAATGCAAGTTTTTCTCCTCTTTCTAACACTTGTCTTTTTTGCGGAGACAGGCGGAAATTGTGGGGAAAACCGCAGTATTCCTCAATTTTAGAAGTGAGCACCGTAGTCTATGTTTCAAAATCTCACAATTTGAAGCGAAAATCGCTCATTTACTTTGTAGTGGTAGCGATAGTAATAATCGAGTGTTGAAATCTCACAAGGGAACGATCCGAACTTGAGGTGGCGGATTGGAATGAACTGCATACCATTTGCGTCTTGATGAACTGATTCCAAATCTGTCTTCCTTATCTGCGACACCGTTATGTGCAAAAAGTTATGAGCGGTTGAAAATGTGAAGTTATCGGGGTTTTAATGCATAATATGCTTTAAAATTCAACTTGGAAGTGCACGACTAGCATGATATTGAGTGTACTGATTCCAGGGAATGCTCGTTTTTTAAAAAAACACAGATAAGTGTTTTCGAACAGCTAAAAGCAACTAAAGTTCTTTGGTAAAAGCTATGAGCAATGAAAAGTCCAAATTTGGCAAATGTACAGCGCCATACCTCGAAAATTAGTTGTTCAAAAACACTTACCTGTGTTTCTTTAGAATCTGAGCATCCCCTGGAATCAGTACACTCAATATCACGCTAGTCGTGCACTTCCAATTTGGATTTTAAAGCATACTATGCATTAAGACCCCGATAACTTCACATTTTCAACCGCTCATAACTTTTTGCAAATAACGGTATTGCAGATATGGAAGACAGATTTGGAATCAGCTCATCAAGACGCATCTAATGGTATGCAGCTCATTGCAATTCGCCACCTTAAGTTGGGATCGTTCCCTTGTCAGTATTCTGTAGGTTTTGCAGTGTTTAGTGCAACAACAGGTTATGCGATTTTTCCAAAACAAGACTTTTAGAAAATTATTTATCGAAAATCTGAAAATGCAGCTGAAAAAAGAAAAAAATAGCGTAAATTGGCAAGAGGTTTGCCCTATTTGATGGTTGTTAGAGCTCCTCCGAAAGTCTCATACAAAAATTCTGAAAATTAGCGAAAGTTGGACATGGTAAAAACGAATGGTTACAATCTTCAGCAAAACCCAATGACACTTTGGCAGCTCGAAAGAGAAAGAAATTCTGCATCGGCTACATTTTGAAGTGTTAATTTATCTTCATTCTAACGTGTTTGCCGATGGATTGAAAAAACTGACAAAACTTTTGCACCGACCTAATATTTAGAACGAGCAGGCATCCCGGGTTCCACACCGGTTTGGAGCCAGTCCATCAGTCTAAACTCTCCATCCTGCACACCCTGCACACTCTGCACACCCTGCACATCCTGCACTACTGAGAATGTGCACAAACAGACAATCACAGATTTTCTGCTTTATATAACATTTGCAACTGGCTTGGCACCATTAAGGCGGGGTTTTGTGGTCTAATTGAGGCCGCTCGCGCCCGCGACGCACCTGCGTCTCTCCCGCGCGAGTGCTCTCTGATCATCACTTAGCCTTAATTAAATCACGAAGCCCCGTCTTTGCCGATGCCAAGCCAGTTAAATCAAATGGTATATAGAGATTAGCTTCAAACGCTGATTCCAACGCTATGTCTAGCTGCGGCACACTATTCCGAAACGGTTAATGATTTTTTTATGCGCGAATTCGGCGTATCACTTAGCATGAAGGAATGCCTATAAACCAAAACCTGCCCAAAAAAGTGCTGCACCATCAAAATAAGAACAGATCAATTCCGTTGTCGTTAACAAAGAACTTCACACAGTGCGTTAACACACAGATATTCATACATAATCCCAGTATATCAAATGAGCATGCAATTTCCGCGCATAAAAAAATCAGCAAGTCTTCGCAGCTACGAGTAGCATATTTGGAATCAACGTTCAAAGCTGACAAATATATGTGTCTCAGCTCGAAACGCGACTTTAAGCTATGCGACATCCCTTTCAAGTACAATAGTTATCTTCCTAAAATTTTGTTAGTAAAAAAGCAGTAAACTTGTTCGATACTGATGATCTCTATTACCTAGAGGGGTGGAGCAAATTTTCTTCAAAAAAATTCAAAATCCGAGAAGGCCTTGCAGTATACATTCCACTTCGAATGGTTGCGGTCACCAAGTACGCTTCCCTCGTAAGTCCACCGAGTTGCGCTTGCAAATAATGGTTCTTTGAGAGGTCAAAAAACGGAGTATTCGATTGCACAACATCTAAAGGCTGATGCATGACGAAGGCGCAGAAGCATTGATAAGTGAGCGCGCGCGACGCTGCGCGCGTTATCTTCAACGTTTATCTTGTGCCTCATTTGCGCTCTGCGGCTAATAAAACCGTTCGCGCCCAAAGATTGCGCCTTCGTCATGCAGCAGCCTATACTTTCAATACTTTCGCCGCAGGTCATCGTTTAGCATTAGAGCGCGGCAGACATTACGGACTTGACAACTCGCTATCCACTATCACGTTTCTGCCTCCCACTCATTTGAATGATAATGCTTTCCTGTAAATGCATGTCGTCGCTGCTCGTGCTTTGATCACGGACTGTCACTGTGACATAGTTACCTTACAAACTGATCGTGTGTGGTGGAAAGTTTATAGTAATTTCGTAAAAACAAGTTGTTCCAATTCAATAACGTCTTCTAAGTAAAGAGTTTGAGCAATTTATAACATTGCTGTTCTCTTCTTTTGTAGACGTCGAAAGTTGCTCGCAACTACGCACTGTCGTCGCTGCTACATCTGCCGGGATGTTTTTTTTTTCATAGGCACTGCTTCATTTTGTTGTTGATAATGTAAATGTTGTTCTCTTGATTTGTGATTAATTTTGATATCAGCATTCATTTTGATGTAGCTACCAGCTATTTAGGGCTCAGGCGAGCCTTGCTACAATGTGCTGTCTGCGTTTCTCAAAATGTTACTTAGTGAGGGATAAAAAACACATTCAACTTACTATTGTGACAAATGCTGGAGCTTTGTGACGCCTGTTTCACTAAGCAAGCATATCCGTACTTCTTTTTCTTTCGCATTCCCCGACCGGATATGACAGCGGGGTGATGGTCACAGATTATGCGTCAACAGTTAAGAGTTCTCGACATTCGCTAATCTCGTGTTTTTGTCATTCAGCACCGGTGTTCGTTGTTGGGTGTGTGATTTCTTTCGGTAATGGAAAGAAGTACTACTATATCTATTGTCAAATTCCAGTGTGCCAGGAAAAATTCGCTCAAATAATTCAAGTCAAAGCTGGAATCATGCCCTGGATATGAAACGTTGTGTTTATCTCATTTCGATCACTGAATTTATAACAGAAAGTGCCCAAATAATACAGTCGTAAAAAAAGTTTGTGTGTATTTCTGGTGACTATTATCGGGACAGAACGAGGTCTGTATCCTAAGCGCTCGTTTTCTGCATGAAAAATGTTAGAAATTGGTAGATGTTGTTCAAGTTTGTGACGTCTGCCGCGCCCTAATGCTAAAACGATGACCTGCGGTGAAAGTATTGGTAGATGTTGTGCATTCCGAATACGTCCAAAAATCCAAATATCCGTCATTCTTAAATGACTAGATAATCTGTGGCACTCCAATAGAATTGACTCTCGCTGGTTTGCTGATATGCAATTGGATTTGTACGGAAAAAAACTTGAAAATTCCCTCAAAAACAATTTCGCAGGCTACGCGCTCTAGTGGAATAGCCGCAAGCAAGGTCGCTTCCGCCTAACAAGAAATGCTCGTCCAGCAGGAAATGGGCGGTCAACGAACTATGACCAATCAATACCTAACCTCCATCACTGCAGAACACAAATTTATGTCCTATGTTCATTTCTCTCAAAACACACAATCCAAATTTTTGGAAAATATAAATAACGAAATATACAATGAATTGAATCATGCCAACTTGTGCGTTTAGCATAGATACATATTTTGATGAACAGGAATAGTATTTACAGCTATTTCTATAATTTGATGTTTTCTACCACTTGACAAGATAGTGATAAAATCCGATGCTCAGAAGGCTCGTGCGCGTAGCGCGACTGCTGTTGCAGCCGCACGCGACAGCACGCGCCACTTAGCATTGGAAGCCAAGTTACACTAACTTAAAGGCAACATGATGAATCTAGAGGAGCAATTCGAACATTGGGGCAATGGGTATCACTCTATAACATCTCTATCACAGGGAGATAATGAGGTTGTCAGTTATTATTATAAAAAGTACTCATTATGACATGGAACATGAATCATATTCGTGTTTTGATCCGCACGAATTCACTGTGCAAACTGTCATACGAAGACAGTCTTCCTGCTGCTGCTATAAGTGAAAAATCCCCATAACACTCAACCGTTTGGCTTGATGAGTCGAATCGCTGATGATGCAAGTCATGGTCGATGGAACCTGAACATAACTGGTAGTTATGAGATAAATGATGGAGTATAAACTCAGAGAATTGCGCGAACTATGCTACATACTCGGATATTAGAAAACGCTTCTAATATGTAAAGAATCGTTAGCTCAATTCAAAAATCCTCCAAAAGCGGGAAACCGCGGCGGGTCCTGAAGCGAAAGCTTGCAGACCTAGCACCTTTAGCTTACTGTTTGGACAAGGTCACTGAATCGTGATTCTCTAATCATTCAGCTTTCGTAAGTTCTTGTATTTTACTCTAAATTCAACAAATATTAGCTGCAGTCCCTCCTTTGTAACAACCTTAAACGTTACCTTCAAGTAGATTACAGATTAGCATGCTTTCACCTGTATGAAACAAAGGAAGTTATTATATCTAGGTACTTCTTGAGCTAGAAGACAAGATACAAATTTAGAAATATATGTATTAGGTTGAACCGAAAGTTCTGTCGCACCATTTTCAAAAAAATATAACTTCTTTCGGTCACGACGATTATGCGCAGTTTAAATTTTGTCTGAAAGCGTAAGCCGTGTAGTTTCCAAAAGCTCCCTAGGGAGTTTCCGACATGCTCAGGTGGCAGAGATAAAAATAGAAGAACGATATCATCCGAAATTCGGAATTTTTAAGCAAGAATTCTAGAAATTCAGAAACAGTGCGATAAAATCCAGAAAAGCCATTATCCTAATTTTTCTCACATTTGATTACTATCTGAGTCAAATTTGTGCTGATCGAGCCCTTCTTTCAAAAGTTATGATTTTTTAAAAAATAATGGCGAAAAATCAGCTTCCTAAGAATTCTCAAGAAATCGATTTTTTGGCTTTTTTTTCAAAAATTCATAACTTTTGAAAGAAGACCTCTATCAGCACAAACTTGACTCAGTTAGTAATCAAATGTAAGAGAAATTAGGATAATGGCTTTTCTGGATTTTATCGCACTGTTTCTGAATTTCTAGAATTCTTGCTTAAAAATTCCGAATTTTGAATGGTCTCGTTCTTTCATTTTTATCTCTGCCACCTGAGCATGTCGGAAGCTCCCCAGGGAGCTTTTGGAAACTACATGCTTTACGATTTCAGAAAAAATTTGAATTGCGCAAAACCGTCGTGACTGAAAGAAGTTATGATTTTTTGAAAATGATGCGACAGAACTTTCGGTTCAACCTAATATATGCGTTTACACACAACCGGTTTCGGGCCTTAGAACTATACCGGATGTGTAGCTTTCTTGTCGGCCCTCATCAGCAGTTCACAAGAAAACTTCAAAAGACGTAAAAATCAGTAATACTTTTTGATTACCTATGATGGCAGAAGTCAAGAAAATATTAGAAGTAGAAGTAGAAGTTGGAAAAGGAAACAGGCACGCTCGGGCAAATGAGACTTGAGACTGATGTTGTGATGTGTATGAGGTCGAATTTGAATCTATCTTACAGTGTCATCCTGGCGCGTTAGCACTAGTCCACACTGCGCGTAGCTCGCGCATCAGAGGAAGATGTATCGCCGTTACAAACCCGTATTTGCGTAAAATGAAAGGTCTATCTGTCATAGCCCGACATAGTATGTTCATAAAGTATCCATACTCCAATCCATTATCAAAAGATGTTCTACCCAACTCAATTATTCTATCTTTGAAGTCCGGGTAACTAGAGCAGTTTCTGTAAATTCTAAGCATCTCAGATGATAATGTATTTATTAGTATGTACCTAGGTATGATGGAGTTCCATTGAGGATATCTAATAACTTTGAAATTATAGCTGTCTGTTTTATTATAAAGACTGAATTTTACTAAATTCTCAGAATTGTTTATGTGTAAATCTAAGAAATTAGTGATTTTGCAATTATTGTTGGTCTTTCCTATCTCAAGTGTATCATGATATATATCTTTAATAACTCTTTCAAATTCCTGTTCATTTGTAGATACGTGGAGTATATCACCAATGTATCTATAAGCATACTTAGAAGAAAATCTCAAATTGTTTGATGTAATTGCCAGTCTTTTCATAAATTCATATTCCATATATGTCAATGTTAGGTCGGTCATTTGTGGGCTACAAGAAGCACCTTGTGGTATATCCTTAATTTGTCGGTAAACGACTCCTCCAAAACTCAAGTGCCTAGAGTCTAGCAGGGAGTCTATCATGTAGAGTACATCCTCCAGTTGAAAATATTTTCCATGTAATGTAACCGTACTGACACAAGATACGTTTCTATTACATACTCTGATATACATAAAACCTCTCATACACAGGGTTAAAAGTTTTTTGAGATTAGACTTTACCACCTTATGTGGTAGACTAGTAAAAAGACTTGGCTAAGCCCCTTATTATCTGATTACTATTTTCCACCGCCCAGAAGTAATTAATTTGTGTTCTCTGTCTTATAACCATACAATGATTAGCAAAATGTTTTCTTATATGTGCAAGTATGAGCTGCAAAATATTTGTAAGAGGTTTCAGTGTACTTTTTCTTGCTCCTGTTTTGTATCAGAATTTAACTGGATTCTTATGCACCTTTGGTATACCATAAATTCTAGGTATTTCGAGGAATCTTTCCTCAGGTTCAATATTCAGACTGTTAAGTATTCTTACATGCTTCATCCGGATATCTTCAGTTGTAAAGTTAGTGCTTTCATAGGTGCTACCTTCATTATTAGCTTGTTCCATTTCTTTCTTCATCATTTTTATATAGAATTTTTTGCAGGTAAAACTAAAATTAGAACTAGCCTTATCCACTGGGGTTATTACAGTGTTTGTGTAATTGCTTTAAGGCTTTTTTATCATATTGGTCGTCTTCAATTTCTGTCATGTTATACATATTATACAATTTCGGTGTAAACTTGTTCTTAAAGTAACGGTTCAGGCTGTGTATTAACTGTTCCTTGGCTGTAGAGTTAGCTCTAAATTTATGTATGTACTTTGCCACTAGTTGGGATACAAGGTCTTTTATCGTGCTTAGAACATCTTCTTTATCAAATATAGAGAATCTTCTATATCTAGTTCCTTTTCTCAATGCACTCTTCAATCTTTCGTCATCTATAAAATCGATACTCCCTGTGCAGACATGCTTATGAGTTGGATCAATATACCCAACATATTTGTCGCATACACATTCTTGATCCTCTATAAAATTAATAAGGTTGATATCTAACTTTCTGAGAAAGTTATTATAATTACAAATTTCAAGCCCTATAGGCTTTTGTAAGTTATAGCGGATTGTTACTCTGATGTCTTTCAAATCGATGTCCCTAGTATTTATGTGTTCAGCACTTATTCTATGTACTCTAGCACTGTTGCTCAATCTAGTAAGTTTCAGTCGTTCCATAATGTTGCCCAAGTATGGTAATGTGATAATTATTTGGTCTTTGTCTTTCATTAAAGTCTTCGTCCTTCCCCAAAATAGAGTGGCTATTAATGAATATATCTTGCATCTGTGTTCAAATGTTAATTTATTAAAGTCTGCCGTAAAGGAGTATTCGATAAGCCTATTTATATCCATTTTATTTGATGTACGAAAGTACCTGAAGAGTGCATTACTATACATATTATCTATCGCTGTTATTACTACTTCTGTTCTGTCATAGCATGTACTCTTTTTCCTGGATCTTCTTTTTTTTCTTCCCGTTCTTGTTCTTCTGACTGGAGATCTAAATTAAGTATGTTCTTTTTTTTCTGGTGGATTAATATTGTCAGAAATATTGCCAAACCCTTTTATTTGGTCATTAAATCCGAATGGATATGCAGTGACCATATATTGTATCCACTTAAGCTCTTTGTCTCTTAAAGGCAGTGGATCGGCAAAATCCAAAAACCCGAGATTTTAACCGGTGGGTTCCTTATCGCCCAAATATGAAAACAGTGCAATCCCGGTTGCACAGCACGCTTTCCCTGCCGGGAAAATCGCTCTCAAACTTACACGCGCAGGCCAATCTTACACGCATCTGAACGAGTTGGCAATTTCCTTCCCACCATTGGAGGCTGCCCGCCGCAATGCTATAACCATTGGGTCCTGCCACGATTTAGCGTCATCGGCCTTGTTCCACTCGTCCAATATCAAAGGGAAGGGCATTAAAAATGCTCATTTTCGCCGATTTCAAGCTTTCAAAAGTGGATTTTCGGGATCAGCGTATTGACAAACCCCAAGTAAGCGCAAATTTGACTAGGTTGAGATTTGCCGAGCCATTGCCTTTAAGAGTTTTTTGTATTGTCCATTTCAGTAACATAATCCAGTACATCTACACTAATGTTCTCCGGGTCATGCCCAGTATTTTTGAAATGATCCACCATAAACGTATGCATGTTGAATTTATGAAAGCTTCTCTTATGTTGATTTATCCTTGATCTCAATTTTTGTGTGGTCTCATCGACATATTGTAAGTTACACGTAAGACATGTTATCATATAAATCACATTCTCTGATTCACAATTACATATGTTGGGTTTGTTAGTTCTGAAGTAGTAATTTATTGTAGAACTATGTGTAATGTTGTTGAATTTAATTTTATCACATATGTTACAGTTATGAGATATGAAACAAATAATCAAACATATGTTTTGATTATGAGATAAATGATGGAGTATAAACTCAGAGAATTGCACGAACTATGCTACATACTCAAATATTAGAAAACGCTTCTAATATGTAAAGAATCGTTAGCTCAATTCAAAAATCCTCCAAAAGCGGGAAACCGCGGCGGGTCCTGAAGCGAAAGCTCGCAGACCTAGCACCTTTAGCTTACTGTTTGGACAAGGTCACTGAATCGTGATTCTCTAATCATTCAGTCTTTCGTAAGTTCTTGTATTTTACTCTAAATTCAACAAATATTAGCTGCAGTTCCTCCTTTGTAACAACCTCAAACGTTACCTTCAAGTAGATTACAGATTAGCATGCTTTCACCTTTGTTCATTTTCAAAATTGTTTCATCTAGGAAAACAAACGCCAAGAATATATAAGAGAATCTCGTTATGTAGCATTTCCCTACATTCTTTGCAGTACTGTAATTTTAGCGTAAATTGGGGACGGCTGAGGTTTGCATGCATGTCTAAAGCATTTCTATGATCATTTACAATCTTGAAAATCAAAAATTATTCTTGGTGCACGCACAAAACTTTCGTGGTTATTCATTTTGTGGTTATTTACGAGACTTAGGGGTGTTTTGTAAGCATATGTATGATTTTTTGTGGACGACAGAGTTTATAGATCCGAAGCCCCGTAGACTACCCCGGCTTCAAAAAAGCAAAAAAAAAAAACTTCTGGACCCGGAAAAGATATGCCCGAATGAGATGTGGGCCACAAGTGGTCCTCATCGTCCCTGGAAGCAAGAGTGCCTGGGCCACCGGCGGTCCACATCGTCGCCAATGGATTAAAGAGTCAGTAGGAGGAATCCAAAAAGCATTGAAAACAGATTAAAATCTGCTTTCTTGTATACTTGCTGTTCTTCTCCGAAAAAAAAGAAAAAAAAATAAAAAAATTCAAAATTGGAGAAACTCGAGCACGCTAGTATATAATAAGATTCTGGAATAATTCGGCAATTTCTCGAGCATATCTTGAGAAAATTGCAGCCAAAGTGAAAAAGGGGTCCAAAACCACCTAAAGTGCTCACTAATCTTTTACTTTTTGGTATGAACATGCATTAAAACTGTTGAATCTAAGTACTGTTTTTACAACGCAGCGATTTTAAGCACTAACCGCCAAACACGGGCTTTCGACTATTATTCGAAACTTCCTTATTACCTCGTAAATATCCTGCTTTCTTCATGCACGTCCGTCTCAAGAGCTTTGTAATCGTTGAGCTCTTTACGAATAAGAGCCTGAAAGAAATTAGTTGGAAAAAATCTGAGGGAACAGCCAGTACTTTGTGAGAATCTTCACTTTTAGACCGTAAAAAGATTATTTCACATTGTCTTGGCGGCTCGAAAAAAATGACATGAAGCCTAAGTCAAGCAATTCACATCAGATCTATTACTGCTGCACAGAACTAACCCCACAAAAATTCACAGGAATTCTATACAGGGCAAGTGATGAGTGGAGACTTTCAAAATATGTTGATATGGTAAATAGTGCCGACTTCAAGCAGGTCGAAGTCTAAGCACAATCATTGGCAGGATTTGGGACAAACTAGGAAATGTATTCAAGAAAGACTCTTGCAAGTGACCGTAACTTCTGCACAAGGTTCGGGAAAGTTCCCCCGGTCACCCGCGGAAGTTCGTGAACGTGCTGCAGAAGTTCCCAAATGAGAACTGCGGAAGTTCCGAAAAATGCGAACCACAGCTGTGAAAGCAAACACCTTAGCGAAATTTCGAACGTTTCTCTATTGACTGTGAGACTCACTCGCTATCCTCTCAATTCGGATGACATGTTCAACACAACATATTCACAGTCCTGCAGAAGTACTAGCAAATTGAAGCTCTGCAAAACCGCTGGCATTTTTCGGAATCTCCGCATGTAAACATGTCATCCGCGGCATTTTGTAAAAAGCCCTGCGGAACTTCCTGTTTCCAGCCAATCTCACTTGAAAATCCTGCAGAAGTTCCTTTATAAACGTTTACACTTTTGTAAAGATGAACAAAATCCTGCGGAACCGCTGCAAATTTTGCTTGTCTTGCGAAAGCCCCTGAGGAGTTGATATGATGAAGCATTTCCCACCTTATCCGTCGGTGTAAGCCTTGTCCATGGTTTATCTGCTTTACGATCATAGACCTGAGCTTGTGTCACTTCAACATAACCATTGAAATGTATGATTTGTTGTTCCTTCAGCTGCCGCTATGGTAGGCCGAAAACTCAGCCGAAAATCGATTTCCTAGAATATCTGCAAGATTACAAAAAAGAAACAAGGTCAAAAATTATGGCCCACCTTTCTTAACAACAATTTTTTCTTTTCCATAGTCTTTCCATCTCTCTTCAAAATATTCCTGTCTTCCAACTCTCCAACTGTCGGGCGCTCACTCAGCTTTTTGAAAGAGACCAGGTCAGGGGTGAAATCAACCTTACCCTGGATAACTGTTACCTCTCGAGTTTTATCGATGCCTTGTACATTAGAGTCTGACGATCATCAGGTGTTTGTCCGGAGATATCATCTACGCACGGTGGTGCATCGAGTCGTAAAGTAAGTGTATCTTTTCGTTGAATTTTAGCCGCCAAACCATTTGGAGAACGAGGTCGTTTCGGCCCGAGATCAGCAAAAAGAGCTCATTATTTGGTGGGAAAGTCGGTTGTTGTAGTGAAAATTGACTTTTGAAAGGAAGGTGAGGGCAGAGGAGGTGGAGGGGCTAAGAAAGTTTCAAACGAAAGAGCAAAGGGCTGAAAATTATTTCCTCACTCTACCTGACAAGTATCAACCGGTAACATATGACTCGAGAATGAAGAGGAATGGGAAGGGAAGGAATGGGGAGGGGGTGAGAGGCAAAAGCGCATCCGCCTTTTGCAGTTGATAGAAAATTTAGATAAGTCAATTCAATCACGAAGGGCGTAATCAAATTCTTATTTTTGGCTGACAGAAAATTTATGCAAGTTGAGAACGCTTTGATTCAACTGACTTGGCGGCAGGAAGGCGGGGCTTTGTGACCTGATGAAGGCAGCTCGCGCCCGCTACGCAGTCTGTGTCTTTCCCGCGCGACTGCTCTTTGACCACTACCTAGCCTTCATAGGTCCAGGGAACGTTGTCCATGTTCACGTCCGAGATATTGCTTTTCACTGCTCTCCAGTAACGGCTCTTCTCGACTCGTACCTATCTCTGACAAAGTGCATTAGAACTTCGATTTGTCTCTGCGCATCTGAACAACCAGTCAATCAACTGCTAAAGTGAGATCGCAATTTAAACAAATACCTTCCCAGTCCACTTCTTCTACAGGGTGTCCCAAAAAATGTAAACACTGTTTGATTGTTAATAATTCTCTTATTATGAGGTCTTTCGAGAAGCGGTAAGCGCCATTTGGTAGAGCGAGGTTCAACTTAGATAATTAGTATGGAGCAAATCACCCTTCTCTCTTCATTACTGTAGGATTACGGTGAAAACTTAAAGGAGGGTTTTGAGCCATAAAAGGCCATATTTTGCCTCAGAAAGGAAACAAAACAGCCGAAAAACATTTACACTAGGCCAAGTAGGGTTGGTGATTCTAATTGTAAAGTTCTCAACTTATTATGATGCTTCATTAAAGAGTTATGCCAGGTAAGAGGTAGCGGCCATTTGTTCCTAATGTTCTTAAAAAATGCGGTTACACCGTTTAGAAAGCTTCGTAATTTTGCGAATAGTTGACTATTGAACTCAGCGTCCATAAAAACCCTATTGCACAAGTTCTTACATTTTTTTGAAAAACTTTGAAACGGCGACCTTTTCCACATTGACAACATATGTTTCAAGTTTCTACCGTAGTCCTATAATGAAGAGGGATGGGTGCTTCTTCTATACTGTAAATCTAAGTTGAACCTCGCTCTAGAAAATGGTACCTAAAGCTTTCCGAAATATTTCATTACAAGAGAGTTATTTACAATCAAACAGTGGATACATTTTTTTGGGACACCCTGTATTTTATCCATCACCTTCAGCCAGTGCTTGATTGTGGGAGTTAGTGAAGCTTGCTTGTTGCCACGTAGTTCTTATAAGGTCTAAACTCGCCTTTGTTTTCGGATTGTATTCGTATATATTCCTCTCACTCATAGGATATCCTGTCGGCTTTATCTTTGGCTCTGTCTTTCGGCAAGCAGACATGCTAACATGGCAGGATCATCCAGAAAGTCATCTTCATTCACCTGAAAGAACTATTTTTTCAAGCGAACTAGACAGATTTCAAAGCTCATCAGTACTGAAGTGTAATTCTTCATTTTTGCGCACTCAACACATTGGTACTTGAATGTGTTTTCCAGTTCTTTTGTGGTACATGAATAAATAAACACGAGGACTGCCAGGAATTTCGTAGAGGAGCACTTTGTGCCTTCCTTTCTGACTAGTTTCTCTTATGCCCGCATAGCGGGTACTCTTTCTTGGAGCAGCAACAGGAAGCTCAGGCAGTGCTGTTAATGGCGAACTAGGTTCCTCAGGTTCCTCCACATAGTAAGTTTCATGTGTTGTTGCAGTAAAATCGGCCTCAAATTCACGTTCTCACAGTTAGATTGTATCTGAAGCTATGAAGTAAAGCGAATTACCTTTGAATTCGCTTGTTCAGCGTAAAAGTTCTGATGCGTAGTTGCAAACCTTCGGTCTAAAAACGCACATGAGGGCATGTTTACAACGGTACTTCATACCTGTAGGTTTTGCTCACTCAATGGTGTTGGAATACAATACACTATGTTTGAATTGAAAACCTCTGTTGGTGGCGTTGCAGAAGATATTACATACTGCTTGAATTGAATCATCACTGGTTTTAAATTTGTCATTATTCAAGCCAACCTCAGGCCACCCTTGAAAGTTGTAAAGTTGGCTAGGACTAGGGTAAGTAGTATACATTATGCCATTCGGCTGAGCTTGGTACAGAGTTGGAGGAAAATAGTTGAACGAGTTGCCGAAGCATTGAATTTCTACCTAAAGAGGGTCTCAAGATAAAAATTTTGTCAAATTGAGCAAAAAGACGAAAAAAATGAAAAAAAAGAGAAAAGTAAGCAACAGCGCAGTACCTGATAGTAAGACATGTTGCGTTGCGAGTACCTCGCATTTCACCTTTTTATAGTCTACAAGGCTGTTCTTTTTGCCTATGGACTATGTTATGGGCTACATATTAGCCGTCGGCTTTAACCCTTCAGTTCTTATCTTATTAGTGAACCTTATCAGTGCACAAGGTCAAAGGTATGTTAATTAGTTCCAAGTTAGGGATGTTTGAGAGTGATGTTCAATGTTTTTTCCACAAAGCTTACTGGAAGCCTGCTTATAACCACTTCTTACGAAGCTTCTTGGATTCTTCTCGTTATCCATGAAAGCGCGAGCGACAATGAGGTCGATCTGGGGGCGGAGCTTGTTTTTCTAGCGTTGAAGGTGTGAGATAGGTGCGAGAGAGGCGCGAAGCAATAATTGCCTCCGAAACACGCACCTGGAGAAGCGGCAGGCCTTTGGAGGATCCTGCAACGCCGCCATATTCCTCTGGTCAGGAGAGTATTACAAGCAGGTGCGGCTTACGGAGCAAAGATTGGCTTCCTTCGTCGCAATCGTCTTCCTGTCAAAGATAAAATAAACAAAAAAGTACTTGCTCGTAAGCTCATGCTCTTTTACATATAGATTGACGACTGCTGCCAATATGCCTCAAAGTGAAGTAGACATATGCTTTGACATTCTGAATAGCCAATCCCTTAACATGAGATTCACGTGGAATAAACCCGATGAAAATTGGCTAGCATTCTTAAACGTCCAAATGTTTTGATCTTACGGATCATACGTAACTAAATGATTACGCAAACAAGCTAGTAAGGCCATATTAATTCACTATCGCTCTAGGCAACCTTGGAGCATGAAACCGTGATAGGCAACATGTTCAAGACAGTGACGGTTTCGTTCAACGTCGAACAGCGCAATGCATTGATGAACCTTGTCAAACAGATTGTATATTATAACGGCTATCCCGCAAAAGGTGCACCAATGCAACCTGTAGGCAAGAAAGCAGACCGATCGAAATGAACCAGACAATCAAAATAGCGTTTTGTGTTCTTCGTATCTGACGATTTTAGCACAGCTATCAGAAAATCTTTGTTTCAAGATGATTTTTTCGATGATACCGTCAAATTATAGCTATCCCTACTTCAAATCTCAAAAAACAACTAAGCCGCAATCGAGCGTATGACAGAATGTGCACGACCGCCGATTGTATCATCTGAGCTTTGGGAAACCAGGCGACTGCATGGAATTACGAGTTTTATATCTCATGAAATGTGGAAAATGCGGTGATCAATACATGGGAGAGACCGGAAGACCCTTGTGCACAAGAGAATCCAAGGGCATCTTGACGGCCTTAGAAAACCACAAATGTCCACATCTTTGGGTGCACATGGTGCACACAGGTTATGTCATGAGAACCATTATTTCTTAGTCGCTGTTACGACCTTGTCGCACGAATCCGAGTTTATAGCCCTCAAAACGTGGAGGCTTTTTGGATAACGTCTAAACCACCTAAAATGAACCGCAAAGATGAAAGCATTGCCATAAGCCTGTTCTACTATCAAACACTATGTGGATGCTAATACGAGATCTTCTATAACCATATAAAAAACATTGTTGACACTGACTATCATACTCACTCATGGCGCTGCAGCGCAGTACTGGTTGTTCTGTCTCTATATGCCGATCTGACAAGACCGAAGTTAGGCTTTCAACATCTATTCTGCCACTCCATCACTAAGCTAAACTGAATCTATTGCCAAACAAGGCGTTCAAGCGGGCAGTTTTCGAAGTCTCGTTCCTTCAGGAAGCCCTGATGAAGGCGGAAACGAATGAACCGTCGAAACGTTGACTTATCGCGTAATAAAGTCTTGCTATCAACCTTGGTCGACAGCTTAAAAACTGTATTACAAGTGAATCACAATGTCAAGGTTTATCGACAATCACGCACAAAATCAATTTCCTTTGATTTGCCCAATTATTTCCTTCGCTTCCTTCACATGATTAAGGACTTCCGGAACCTTTGCGGCAATGTCCGGAACCTTCTTGATCGCAACTTTTATCTTTTCTAGGATTTTTCCCAAAATGTCTTTGAATTTGCCGCATTCACCAACGTCCACAACAGAGAGAATCTGTAAGCATTCTAAAGAGTAAAATCGCAAACTAAGTGATGTCTTGCTTGATCAACATACCACTAAGATGGTAAGTAATAAGAAGGTAAGGTTGAAAATTCTCATTCTTGTCCAACTGACGTAATCTCTAGAAAAACACTTTGAGAAAGTAAGCGGTACATAGAGCGTTTGATAAAACGGCAAACAGACGAAACTTCATTGGCATAACTTGACAGAGAAACAAATGAGGTATGGGACTATATGTCGCCAGAAATGGGAGATTCCGCCCGACATTTGCGACAATTACGCCTTATTAATACATGCACAGGCTGAGTATCTGCTGCATTGTCCGCGCGAAATCCTCCCACTTCGCCACATAGTCCTCCTCTACCCAAATAAATGATCTTCTGAGTGCAAGGGAATTACGAGTTTACAATAATCTTGATTTCTCTGCTATGTAATTTCAGGCATTTGTAAGAGGCAATGTCGCAGATTATATCAAAAATAAAACCTCAAAAAGTTGTGCACATTATGTACAACTCTGTCATCAACTATCTCGCTTGTTTAACTGTAAATTCATCAGCTTTCTTCTCTGAAACAAAAAATACCGTAATTGCCTTTTCAGAAAAGGAGTAGACAAAGCTTGCGTTTGGTCATGTTCTACTCAAAAGTTTTAGGTTGCTAATATCTTCTCTTAACTTTGCAAAGCTATAGACCATTGATTGGGGTTTTTTTGAGCCACAGCAGAACTTAGCGGACTTCTGTCAATTTTGGTTGGTCATGCTTATGCACAAAATGAGGAATTGAACGAAATGAAGAAGAGGCTGATCAGATAGTAGTTGAAGGTTGGGGACTTTCTTATATTATCATAATCTTTTCAATCGAGATTCGTCCATAAAAAGAGTATCTTGGCAGCAGTGCACAAAAGTTTTGCCTTGACCCAAACCCACCTTCCTTATCTGCGATGCCGGCTATGGGAAAACTACAATCATAAGTCCAAATTTGGCAAACATTTAGCGCCACATCCTCATCCAAAAACTACTTGTGCAAAAACACTTACTGTGTCTCCACTGAATGTAAGCATCCCTTGAAATCAGTACGCTAAACATCTTGCTAGTCATGCACTTCCAAGTTGGGTCTTATAGCACACCATGCATTAAAGCTCCAGTGATTTTATGCACTTGGATGATTTATTTAACAATCTCTAACTCGCTGTTCGAGCCATTATTAACGACCAAGCAGGCGAAAGCGCCAATCCCGTGATTCACCAAACTTCAAAATGTGATCCGATCTGGCAAGTTTGGCATATCGGAAACAGCAGTAGGGAAGCAGAGCCTTTTTCGACAGGTCTTGCTCCACTGCCCGACGTCGTGCCCGATCTGACCAAACTTGCCAGATCGGACCATATTCGCCAATAGAAGCAGCCCAATCACCAGCTTGGCTTCGTTTATCACTGGCGCCAGTGCCCGCGTTTGTACGGGCTATCACCTGTACAGGAATTCCCTTCCTAGATAGGAGACTGATAAATATCGTCCCTAGTATCGTTGCCTCCCCGGCGTACGTTGAGCGGAGCTTTTGCAAACATCCGCGTTGATGACTGATCAATACTCAACGCAAAACGAACTGCGACATATATAACTGTTGTCATACGTGGCAGAGTTGGTAGCGAGAGATTACAAAGAAGAACTCGCGGTAGAGGTTGAATAAGTTCACCGGTTCAGATGTCTGCAAGTGCTCCGCTTAACGTACACCGGGGGACGATAGCAAGGTTGATTGAAGTGTGCTGTAAAAATGCGAAAGTAAAACGAAAATTCTCTAACTGATTCAGTATTTGTGAGCATTTGCCATTTTCAACTGAAATGACTTTCTCTGTATTGCAGTTGCCAAATATCTCCAAAAGGATGCGTAAAATTTCTACCATTGAATTTGTCCCACACATATGATACCCAAGTCTGCCGTATCTTCAATACACAAAAAATACCTGAGTTGCAGAGACCATTTGAAGTGAGATGAACATGGTATAAACGCTTCGGTTAAAATATTAGGTTGGCCCGAAAATGTGTAAGCACCATTTTGAGAAATTTATAGCTTCTTACGCTTCAAAGCTTTTGCTTTCCCGAAAATTTGAACTCGTCTGAAAAAGATAATCATACGTTTTACAAAAGCATTTGAGGTACTCTCTAACTCGCAAACACAGCAGTAATAGATTACGAATAGAATTTGTAGGGTGCCTGAAATGTGAACCAGGGCCGGGACAAAGGTAGCAAGTAGTCCTCTATGAAGCGATTACGCCTATGGCTCTTTGACTTAATGATTTTCCCTTTACATTAACTGCGCAGGCTATTTGATTAAAGTCCGTTCTCAAAAGCCAAAATTTGTTTGTTCTTTTGGAATCTAGCAAAAGGGGGAGGAAAAGGTGAAGAAAAAGTCGCTCCAGTGATCACACAAGTGTCAAACTTCTTGCACTGCATACAAGGACTTTTGTACCCTGCAAGCTCTCAAAGTATTTACCTCAACTCTGCATGAAGCGAAGCTGCATTGCTCACTTTCAGATAATCGCCGGGGCAGGCGGCCGTGCGATTTATGTGCAAGCGGGGACCGGTAAAATACTTCGCTGATTTATTGTGGTCCGCTTGCAGATATATGGAGGGATGTTGGCGAAAATTCAAACGAATTCTCGGAGAACAATCGCGGCCTTTTCATGAACTACTCAGATAACCGCCGGGGGCAGGCGGCCATGCCAATTTTGAGCAAGCGCGCACCGGAAAAATAGTTCATTGATTTTTTGCCGCCCGCTTGCAGAAATTTGGAAGAAAGTTGGCGAAATTGAAGACGAATGCTTGGAGAACAATCGCGGTTTCTTTATGGATTAGCTGCGGCGCAGTGGCCGCATTCTCGCGAACTTTCCGCGAGTATGCAAAAATTTCGGGAACCGCCCGGTCCTTTGTGGAGGACCGCGCAACCCCCAGGTACTTTCCGCTGGGAGAAAGTACCTCAAACTTGAGTAATTAAACCAACGGTGACACCTCTGCCACACAGAGTCTTAGCTGTGCTCGACGTACGCCCGAAAATGCCTAAAAAGAGTCCGAGCGCATGCTGAAAGTTTGGTCAGCGCTCGCTGAAAGAAATTATTTGCCGAGCGCTTGCAAAAAATGCTGTATTGCTGCCCGCTGGCAGAATATGCGACCGTAAAGGAAGTGCCGCCCGCTAAAGGTTTGGCCACGCCCCAAAATTCTGCTGACCGCCTGCAGAAAAGCGCGAGTTTGCGGACCGCCTGCCCCCGGCGATTATCTGAGTAGTTGCGGCGCAGTGGCTGCATTCTCGCGGACTTTCCGCGAGAATATACAAACTGTTGAGAGCCGCACGGTCCTTTGTGAAGGACCGAACAGAGGTAGGTGCTTTCCGCTGAGAGAAAGTACCTCAATTCGGGTAATTAGAACATCGGTGACACCTCTGCCATGTAGAGTGTTACCTTCTTCGGGGCCGAAACTGCTCAACAAGAGTCAGAGCGCTCGCTGAAAATTTGGCCGGCGCTTGCTGAAAGGAATAATTTGACGACCGCTCGCAGAAAATTCTGTATTGCTGCCTGCTGGCAGAACTTACGACGGCAAAAGAATTACCCCCGGTGAAGGTTTAGCCACGCCCCGAAATTCTGCTGACTGCCTGCAAAAAAGCGCGAGTTTGCGGAAAGGCTGCCCCGGCGATTGACTGAGCTAGAGGAACGTAAAGTTCACAAATGAGGGCCTCTGTGCTGACCAAGAAACAAAGCAGTAGGATTGTGAAAAGAAAGAATTACATTGTTAACTTTGAAATTTATAGTATAAATGCACCTCTTCAAATAAAGGCTGTATTAAGATACCAGAAAAGGAAAAGTCCACATTTCTGTTTTACCTATCACATAATATCTTTTCTCAGCGTTGCATAAGCGGTTGCAAAATACAGTTGTGTTGTGTTAACTGTAATGGCTTCTGCTGAGAGCTTAACGTGGCCTCGATGGGAATATTCGTGGAAGGCAAGCCCTACAACATTTGAAGCAAGAAATCGAGAGCTAAGACCGACACAGACACAAGTTCCTTTCTTACACTTATATAGCCCCGTAACAGTCATATGCGATACTTCTATTGATCGCTTATATGTAATCAGCTTTGAAAGAATAGATAAGGAAAAATCTCCGACAGTTACTGTAACAAAAAAAACATACTAATCCTTGAACGTTCGCAACTCGTGACTAATGTGTGTCCGTTGCTTGTGACCAAGGGTGTCGGATAACAATTTAACGATGCTTTCGGAGCTTTCAAATGATTTTGCCTTGAAAGAAGTCCTTGTATAATCACACAACAATCATTAAATTACCCCAGCATTGCCATCAATCAAATTTTGCAGTGCTCAAAATCGAATGGTATTTCTATAAAAATGGTACTCAAGATTATTTTTTACCTAAAAATTATGTCAAAGAAACGTATGTTTTTCAGATGCAAGTATCGCCAATGCAAATACTTAGTTCGCTCAAGGCTTGATGAAAGAACGCCTAAAACTCATTCCTCTGCAGAATTGGTTCTTTTTTTGATAGCATGCTGCGAGTTTATGTCCAAACATGTAAATGCAAGCCCACGCTATAATTATCCTGTACGATGCTTGTTTTGAAATCACACCAGAGGCGGAATAAAATTTGGCTTTTTGCTCCAAAAAAGCGAATGTTAGCTTCCTTTTGTATTCATAGTTTTCATTTCTTTAAGGTCATTAAATTACATGCATTTATGTATGCTTCATGATTCGGAACTTCATTTTGCTCATCTTCATCCAAATATAATATTTGGTTATGGCAAACGTTTCTTCCTTCTTCAGCTAGATTTTTAGCCGATTATGTTTTCTGAAGTAAATCGCTGATTTTATGGCAATACTTTTATCCAGAGAAGCTAAGTGGTGCTATTCAGTGACGCTAAAAATCAATTATCAGATCATCTGTTTAGTGTCATTGAGGATCATTTACAGAAAGCTCCTTAGCAATTGCTAATAGATTGCATCAAAAATTTGCTTTGATGACGTCTTAGTCATTTTTGGTTCTATACTTACAGACAAAATATCACATATATATATGTATACATGTAAAATATTGTGAGCTGAAACCCTTTGCTACCACTTAAAAAGCAGCAATCGCATTGAATGGTTATACTTCAATAGTCAGCTACATGACCTCAAAATTCCAAATGAAACAGTAAGCGCTGATTACTGTAAACTCATTTAGATGCATAGATGCAAGTACTTAAAAACTGTGGATAGGCGATGTGCATGTGCATTCTGTGCCGTAACTTCGCAATATGAATGCAGTACTTTATGCCTTTTTTTCTAATTTCTAAAGGCCGAAGAAGCTTG